ATAATTGCATGGATCTTAATGTTTTGAGAGACCTCGAGAGGGTTTCTGCCCTGAAAGAAGGCCGAGAAATCTTTTAAATACATAAAATGGTTGCTCTCGATTCTTGCCTCCCAGTTACGCTCTCGTGAAGCTTCTAGCGCTTCCCTTGTTTATCTATCGGGCTTTTATCCTGCTCCCACCAGCCACCATTCTAATGGTGGAAAGTTCTTGGCGAAGGTACTCCTTGGACCTGTCCGAGTGATTTCCGCCCGCTGGGACCCTTATCAGGCTCCACTAGCATTGCCAGCGAGGGTCACAATCCGTTAAATGTCCTACCTAAGAGTAGCTTCGTCATACCCTTGCAACGTCCCACTAGACTGGAGAGAGCGAGTCTAGATGTGGCTGTAGACCACGACCTGGCACGCCGTGGTAGAGATCCTGCTAATCGATCGCCATGTCCTTCGCTCCTGCCCGGGGCACATGCCCCAACGTGCCCCGCATGTGTTGCCCCGCAGCTCCTGGGCCAGCCACTGTGGGCCCCTGGGATCAAAGACCTCCTTCCCGCTCTCTCCGCTGCGGCCTGTGGGAGCAGATGAGACCCCTCCTGTGGGGTCCATGCTCCATCCCTGTCTGGAGCCTTGCGTGGCTGCCACGGAATCACTGGGCGACACCGCCACCGTGTGGACAGCGCGCAATCTCTTCACGCCGTGTGGACAACGGAGCAAGCAACTTTGCCGTCTTCACAGTGCCTCTCCTAGCCAAGGACACTGCCCGCATCAAGGGCATTTTGGGGGTGGAGCGTGGGCTGTTTTCAGGGTGTCCCTTCCTGAATAGACCCGTCTCCTCCTCGCTGCTGTCTCAGCTGCAAAAGCCCCTCCCTCTGGGCCCCTCTGGGCTTCCCACTAGCAGGGGCGTGTGAGGTGCACAAAGGCGAGGAACTCCCACAGCTCACCTTCACCTGTGCTGGTGTCCTTTGCCTGGGCTGGCACAAAAGCTGTGGCAGGGAGGAGGAGGAGGAGGAGGAGGAGGAGGAGGAGCTCTGTGATAGCAAGCATGCCGGGAAAGGACACTTGCATAGAACAGGAGACACCACAACCCAAACCCTCCTGCACAAGCAGCGCGTTCTGAAGTGCCTCTGGAACAGATCTGAACACATGATTCAGTCCATGCTGCCTCTGCGGCCGACCGGCCTGGCAGTGACGCTTCACACGTGCACGAGGTGCAGCTGGGCCAGTGCACAGGCATCCGTGAGCCAGCCGGGGGCCACGCGGGATTCGCCCCAGGAGGGGATACCAGACGGGCAAAATGCTAAAGGTCTGCAGAAGGGAATGGCTGGGAACGTCATCCGTCGTTCCAGCCCCAGCTCCAGCCGGGCCCACCTGGGCACCCGCGTCACAAAGACCAGCCAGCGTGGTTGTCTTCACGTTGATGGAAGGTGATCAAGGGGTGTGAAAGAAGTGAGAGGTCGAGGTGACCCAGAGGAGAGATCCAAGCTGAACCGGACTCGATTTGTAACATTCCAGAACTGCTGGTTCCCAAGTTCCATTAATGGAGTCTGAAAACTCAACCACCTGCCATGACCAATGCCTTCTGGAGGACTGTGCCCTCCTTGCCCCAGATTTATTTCAGCTGCCGCTCTGACCCAGCACGTGTGAATTCCTAGTTCTCACGAACTGAATTTGTCTCCAGGATGTCTCATCAAGGGGTAGGCAGGGCTGTCTAGCAGCATGTCAGCCGGGGTGGGGGACCTCATGCAGCCTGGGTGCAAAACTCAGCGTCAGAGCAGGGGTGGACAGTTGTGTTCCAGGAGTCAAAGGCAAGCGGGGGGGGGGGGGTTTAAGGTGGAAAGTACCCCAAACGCCAGGCTGTTGTAATGCAAAGCTCTTCCTTCTGGTCACTAAGCTTTAGAAGAGGCACTTAACCTTCTGGAATGGGTGTGGGGGCGATGCACACAAGGCAGGAGGTCCCAAATGTCTGGCGGCTGCTGGAAAGCAGGTGGGGCAGGAAAGGGGGCCACGCCTGGGACTCCCCATGCCTTGCTTAAGCAGTCCAGCCCTGCCAAGCCAACTCCTTGCTGATGCTTCCCGCACGTGGACAGCCCCAGAACGAGGGCTGGATCTGGAAACAGAGGAATGAGCAACGGTGTCTGCAGGGCACAGTGAATACAGCTCTTCCATTCCCACATGCAAAAGGAATGTGGGATGATTGTGCGATCCCGGATCCCAAATAGGGTTGCAGTCATTGGCACACGTTCCAGGCACTTGGTTCCATGTGTGAACGGACAATAAAGAGAACCTGCAAAGCTGCCACAGCACCGCCTTCCCGTAAAATGTCCTCAGTGCAGAAGGGAAGGGAGGAGATGCCCACACCTTTCGCAGCAGCAGGAGCTCACCTGTGGCTGACTCCGGCGTGCCCCGAGCCAGGTGCCCAGCTGTGCCAGGAGCGCACCGCACCTTCCTGCTTCTCCTCCGGAACGTCCACGCGGCACCTGCACGCACACCCCTTGTCACCGCGCTGGGCAGGGCCAGATCGATGGGCCGATTGGATTTGTCTGTTGAAGCATTTGATGTTACATGAAGGCGGCTCATTCCAGCGGTTGTTAATTGCCCGTTGCAGTGATCAGGTCTGTGGCGCCATCGATCTCGCCGGGATCAATGGGGCTGATTTAGTGTCTTACTAACTCTTTAGCTGGACACCTCATCAATAGCCGGCCACTTACAGAACATCAGAGCATTATTGTAGGCCCGCTATCAGGATCCTGCACTGGCCCCAACCAGGACCCCACCTGTCAGTCTTCCTGGATTTTTCCTGCCAACGAGAGGTCCCCCATGGCAGCCCAACACTCAGTCATCACAGGAAGGACTTCAGAATTCCCACCAACTCTGGTCGAACAGCCATCCTGGTTTGGGGGCACTGATTCATCCCGGAGGGGGGTTCCTGGTTCTCCTCCACTGCATTCCACCGCTTGGCCTGCATAAAACCCAGTTTGTTCAGCTGAAGTTGGTGGCGGCATCCACCCTGTGCAAAACCCTTCGCAACAAACCAGTTCTGTGTGATGGCCAATGCCAGCCACGCTGTCACCGAGGGAAAGAGCGCTGAGCCAGTCCCCGGGAAAGCCTTCTCTGGCCTGAGGCTATCAGAAACCCCCTTGGCTAGACCCCACATAATCTCCCCACCCCTGATTTAGGAAAGTAGGGAGCATCATACTGACCCATGGCAAAGTCACGCATGACCCAGACACCGAACCACACATTCGGTATTTTCAGCTCAAAACAGGGTGACATTTTTCTTGTGGTTTGATCCTTCAGGCTTTGCTATGGCCTGACGCTCCCACCCAGGCCTCAGCACCCCTGCACATCGTTGGCAGCTTGTGGGGAAAGCACTTTGCCACATCCTGACAGCATGTGCAGCTGCATAAAGGAGACTGAGAGGCTCGGTTTGGATGCCGCACGATGAACCCGGGACCTGTCCATGGTGCTGAAAGGCACCCTCGGAGCAAGATTGCGCCGGATTCTGCTTTGGTCCCAGAACATGCATGAGAAAAGAAAAGGTAAACTGGGATTTTTGGCTGGATCTTTTTTGGTGCCTACTTAAGAGCATGGGAAATTCTGAGTTACACATATGAGCAGGCATAAGAGAAGGGGAGCTGGCATGGTATAGTGGTCTAAGTGCTGAAATGGAAAACAGGAGGACCTGGTTCTGGTCCCATTTGACCATGAAGCAGACTGGGTGACTTTGGGCGGGAAGTAGCTCTCAACCTGTCCTACTTTCAGGGCTGTAGTTGCTAGGATAAAACAGAGAGGAGGAGAACCTTGTAAGCTGTGCAAGTTCCTTCCAAAAGGAAGAATGATGGGCTATAATGTCACGTGGAAATAATACCAATGCAAATTTCAACATTGTTAGAAGGAGATGCAATCTTGCCCCTGTCTTCTCAAAAGTCAGTTCAATTGCACGCAATGGTCTTACAGGAAACAGCATAAACAATGAGAACCGAAGGCTGGGCTCCATAAGTTCTTTCTCTTCAGAATATTGTGACAGATGTTAAGTTCCGTTAGTTATCTGTGTGTTTGTTTCTTATATATCGGTCTTTCCTTTCTTCTCAAGGAGCTCAAGGTGGCAATGAGTAAGCCTCGCTTTATCTATGCGATAGCCCTGTGAGGTTGGATAAGCTGAAATGTATTGACTTGGGATCCAAGGCAGTTTCAGGGCTCCCCCTGCTGGCCAAAGGCAGGAATCTCAGCCCAGGTGGTTGCAGGCAGCTATCGGGGCCTTTACGAGTGGCGCCTGGGAGCCCCGGGGGAAGAGCTATCTAAGCAGTTACCCAGGGTTCAGGGACAGAACTGAGGGGACTTGATACTGCTGGAATCTCGGGCCCACACCTAAGGCCCTGAAGGAGCTGGCTGCATGGCCAGAAAACCGTACTTCAACCCCAGCCAAGGGGCAGCATCCTCCGTTGCCCTTGCAGGTGGCCGGCCAGGTCCAAGGGTGTTGGGCAAGGGGCATGGAGCACCAGCTGTGCCCTTCAGCCTTGGCGCTCCTCTCTGCCCTCTGGCAGCTGCCACCAGAAGCAGCCAGCTCACCGAGTGTGAGAGCAGCACCCATTCTGCTTAAATCCTAAGACACAACCTTGGGTGTCACTGAATTGCCCCGCTGATTTCAAGAGGATGTGAGTGAATTACTTTCATCTGGACTGGGGCAAAGCTGGGATGTCCCCAAACTAGAAGAAAGAAATCTCACGGCGGCCATCGCTTGACCCGCTCGGCGGCAACCGTGTTTCATCAAGCAAGGAAGTCTCGCCTTGTCCCCCGAATGCTCAGCCCTTTCTGGGGCACTTGCGCCTTTGGAGGGAATGTTTTCTTCCCCACTGAGTCAATGCTTTTTAACAAATGGGTGGCGGGCGGGGGGGGGGGGAGTTTACCTCCTCCAAGTACTTAGCACGAGGTCCTGCATCAGCTCTCATTCATCCCTCGTCCATCCTATCCCCGTTCTGAGTGACTCCGTTACATTCAGTTTAGCTCCAGACAGATCCACTTTATTGTACAACAAGCAGCTTGACCACAAGAAGAGGGTTTGCCCGCTTTGCAAGACTGTTCAGTTGCACAGTGATATTCACAACACAGCAGATTGGCTGAGCATGGCCCATCCCTGGGAGGCACTGCCTGGGAAGCAGGTCGAGATGACCGGAAGCCACCGTCCCCCGGGGAGAGGCTATTTCTCCAGGGTGAGGAAGAGAAGCACTTGGAGAGAGAAAGTGGGCTTGAAAAGCACCTTGCACAAAACCCCCAAAAAGGATAAGGAAGCCGGCACGGATGGGCTCCAGTTGCAGGAAGTCAGATGCCAGCTAGATAGCAGGAAACATTTGCTGACCGTTAGAACCATACGGCAATGGAACCAGTTCCCCAGGGAGGCCGTGGGCTCTCCCACACTGGAGGCATTCAAGATGCAACGGGACAGTCACCTGGGAGGGAGGGTCGCACTGGGAGTCCTGCACTGAGCTTCTTGGCCTCTTCCAACTCCACTATTCTGTGATTCAATACTTGACTAGACATGTTCTCCCCACGGACAGATCTGGTGTTGGGTCTTCTTGGAGGAAAACTCTTTCTGTACTATCTCAATTCAGGATGGGGAAGAACTTTCTTTAAGTCGCATTTAAATTGCACTTGTACATGATTTCACATTTGAAAACCAGTACGTGGACCTGAATTCCACTATCCTGCAAAATTGGCGCTCCCACAAATTTTGTCATGAAGTCACCCTGTCAAAAAATCCATAAAAATGCATGCAGCTCCTTCGTTCTGAGATGGAACGAGGAAGATGCTCCACAATGTTGTCAATGAATGAAAGGGCAAAGCGGGGTGGGGAGGAGGAGAAGAGTGAGGCAGAGGGAAGGGCTGGGCAAAAGGATGGCCTCTGGCAGATCTTGGTCCCCTCCCCTGCTTTGGAGCCCTGTGTGGACACACCACACTGCCCTGGTCTGGACCCCAGCAGCCTTGCCAAGAGCTGTGGAAATGCCACTTGGCAGCAACTACAGATCTTTCTGCTTATTCACAGGTAAAGGTGGGCAACTAAGGGTTTGCTCCCTGGCAGTGAAAGAGGTGTGCCCTGGTGGCCTCAGAAGCATTTGAATCCAGCAGTGCTGAGGGGCAGGTCTGTGAGCAGCAACTGCAGAAGGACCTGGAGAAGGATCCTGGGTCTCTGGGATCAAGATACAAGCTGAGGAGTCCAGACATCTCTAGAACACGCACAAGACACAGTTGCTCTGCAAAATCAGCTGCAGTGGGTGTGTGTCCTCAGGCATATTGCCAGATGGACCACAGAGCGCCCAGGGTGATGCTGTAGGCTGACACGGCCACGAGGTAGAACCGGAAGAGGAGTACGTCCAGGACGTAGCCCACCTGCAGCCATTCACAGGCGATGCCACGGAACTCATCCCGCTTCTCCAGGAAGTGGCGTATGGCCGCAATCTCCTGCAGGATCTTTTCTACCACGAGCGAGCTCTCCCCCTGGGAAGGGGCTGATGCCCCACCCGCTCCTCCTTCGTAATCACGGGTGCTTTCGCAGCTGTAGTGGTTCAGCTTGGCTAGGAGGAGTGGAGGGAGACGGAAAGGCCATGAGGAGAGCTGAGCCAGGATGGGGATGAACCTGGAGTCTGGAGCCCCAGGTGACCTGCTGTGGCCAGGACACCTCAGCCGTCGGCTTCACCCATTGGAAGCAAACCAGGGGCCTTCCCTCCCTGTGAAGCCAGGCACGCTCTGATCGGGGAGGAAGGATCCTTCTGAGCATGAGCACCGCATGGCCGGATCCCGGTTTAGGACTCCGGGCTTGCCCTTACCTGTGCTACCGCTGTTCTCCATGTCCCTGGAGATGCCGGAGCTCTGACTGCGGATCGGACAGAAAGCATTCCTGTCCCGGATACAGAGGAGCAGGGTGGCACGTTCCAGCACCCAGCGCTTCACCCAGTCGGGGACGTGTGGTTGCAAGTCCTGCTTGTGCACCAGCCGCACAATGAGAATGGTCTCCGTCAAGCTGATGACCAGCAAGGCCATGCACACCACAAAGTAGACCCCTGTAGGAAGGAAGCCATTCAGAAAAGTCCCTTCCTCAGCTAAGTAAAGATGTAGCCAGTACGGCTAAGCCCTTGTTCAGCCCCCTTGTTCATCTCGTTCGGTTTGTCAGAACTGCATGCTACTCCCACCAGAGAGCCTGGTGGCCTCGCGGAGATCCTCAGCCCATGGACGACCAGCCATAGCACATGCAGCCCCAGCTGTGTCCACATGTGCAATCCCTTGTTGGCCCCAGCCGGCATCTCATCCCTAGGGATGGATGAGAATTTAATTCCATGTTCCAAATGTCAGAACTTGCCCTACTGGAATTTTAAAAAAATACCTGCATGTCCCTGAGCATACAATCACCGCTGGAAAATGCCTGTTGGTGAATACACACACCATTGCCAGCAAAATACACATTTCCATGCTTTTGTCAGTGGGGGAAGTGTGCACTATTAAAAAACCCTGCATGGAAACACACACTTTCCCGCTTCAGTTTGTGCACCTTCTGTGCTTGAAGAGGAAGCAAAACAGGTCACAATCCAAAACGGGAGTTGGGTAGACTGCGCTTCAGGTGGAGTTTTCTGGAACTTGATCATCCGCGGCTCTCCCTCCCCCATGGATGCAAAGGGGTCCCCTCCCCAGCAGGAGGACACACGATGCCTCTGGAGAGCTTGCAACCCGCCCTCGGGTGCAATCGCCAAGCGCAGCTGTGCAGCTCGGATCCCCTTATAATGCCCTGCAACTGCCCGGCGACCCGGGCCGCCGGCTCCCTCCACCGCGGCCCCTGCTGCCTGTGCTGCTTGCAGTACTGCGAGCTTACCGATGAGCGGCGTCCCGATGGCAGTGGCCGGCAGCGTGTCAGACACAATGATCAGGAACACAGAATAGCCGAGGAGGAGCGTGATCTTAAACGAGACCCTCTCCCCGCTGTCCGGGGGCAGGTAGAAACCCACAATGTCCATGACCATGAGGAAGACACTGGGGAGCAGCAGGCTGACTGCGTAGAAGAGTGGGCGTCTCCGGATGACCACCTGTGGGTGCGCAAGGAAACACGCAGCGCTCTTGGCGGAGGGGGACCTGCCCTGGGACAGCCTCCAGTGAAGGGCTGGCTCCCACTCCTTCGCGACGACACAGGCCAAGAGCTCCAGCAACACTGCTAAGCTGGCCTTGTGGGTCCCTCTGCTCACTCGTTATTTATGCCCCTTGCTTGCAACACACTGGTCATTAGAAAAGATTCAGTCTTGCTTTTGTGCTGCTGTTACTGCTACCTTTCTCTGCTCATGCTTTAACGACACAAACAGGGCAGCAAATGGCCCAAGATTCTCTTCTGTGATGCCAGAAAATCTCAAGGATGTGAACCCAAAGGGAAAGGGCCCACAGGATTTGCACGACAGCTTGTACGCAAATCAAAGTGCAAGTTTAGAAAGATATTTCCCAGTCATTGATGGATGTTTGGCTACATGAGTTTATAAACATCAGCCGTGACACCCCTCAAAGAGTCCACGGTTTCTTTGCATGTGCATTCAGAGAAAAACGTGTCTGAGAGAAACAGGAAGGGAAGATCCAGTGACACGGAGAGATGCGGCCTTCTGGGAAGTCCTCTACCATGAGTGGGATGTTCCATCTTGCTCCCTGCCTTTGATCCCCTGAAATTGCCTTCTCTGTCCCCCTCCTCATCATGGCCTATCTCCCTCCAGGCCCACCAAGACTACTTACAAAGAACTTCATCTCAGCATAGAAATCGCTGTCCCCAACACTGAACTCCCGGAACTGGCTGAGGACATGCAGAAGTTCCCATTCTCCTTGGTTCATGAAGACGCTCTTGTCGTGCTTCACTTCTTCTGGGGTCCGCCAGAGGGAGATGTTGATATCCCGGACTGCAGGACAGTAAACGAGAAGATCAGCCATGTCAGAGGGCTGGAGAGGTCCCCATCCTATCTAGCAGCTCCTCCCCTCTGCACACTAGGTCCATGTCAAAGTAGCCGGAGCTTGGCACCTCTGCGTGGATACATCGGAAGTATCGCTTTGGACTGTTGGCCACACGTGGAAGCCCCCTTGGAGGAGGTCCAGAATAAACGTGCTGCACCCGGATCTTGACAGGCACCATGCAGTGTGGCACCAGGAAAGAAGGAAAACACAGGGACTGCAACCCAGCCAGCCACCTGTTCTTAGGCCCACCTGATCTAGGTGAAGGCCTTGCTGGAATGTGTCAGAGGTGAAAATTAAGGTCTTTAAAAAGGTAATGCCAGCTGCAAGTCCTGCCTCTGCTACCTCACCCCAAAGGCCCAACAAAGGCCAGGACTGGGAGAGTCACGCCTGGAACATGGTGAAGGGCCACCCCTTACAGTTTGCTCCAGGCCCTGGTATTAGAAGGGGGTGTAAGGGCCCCCTGAACATGGAATTCGCATGTCACTGCCCTGGTAATTAGCCACGGAGAGATGCATTTTTAATGGATCCTGGCGTAGCTTAGGAAAGCCTGGAAAGCTGGCTTTCTTGGGCAACCAAGGAAGGTCATGGCACCCACTCTCCCACCGCGATTTTTGAACCGGCATGCAAGGGGGACTTGGCGGAACTCATCCCGTACTGTTATGCAGCCAGCTGGTGAAGGTCAGGGAGCAGTTCTGCACATCAAAGGGGAAGTTGTAGATATCCAGGCTGCAGGCAGTCACTACCTGGATGGGCTTGAGATTCCGCACCTCCCCATGGTGCAGGATGTAGACATAGGGAATGTCTGGGGATTTGCCCACATCCACACTGCAGGAAATGGAGGAGGAGAAACGGGAGGTCAAGGAGAAGAATAGCAGCCACTCTGACTGCTGCTGGAACTATCCAAGTAGCCCCACGAGAGCAATCCGTTGCTCCAGACAGAAAAGTTGAGCAATAGCTTTGTGAAAGAACCTTCTCAACATGATCAAAATGGACTTTGGGCGGCTTGCTACAACGAGGCGGCATTTTCATCCGTGAGCATCACCCAGATCGTGCATCTCAGTCCTCGGAAACCTCCCTAGCAAGAAAGCGGCAGGCTGCTTTCCTGGATTGGGATCATTCCCGGGATGTCCGAGCTGTGTCCAGTTTGGTCCCACTGCCCCCATTGCATGGGCCGCTCCTCCAACTCTGTGCCCCCATCACTGAAATCAAAAGCGTTTTTATCTAATGGCTGATCTCCTAGATTGGCTGTTCATGTTCCTTTCACTTATCTTTTCACATCTCCTGGCATTATTCTGTGTTTTCATTAAGACGGTGCTGCTCCTCTGGATTTCACATTTCACAGCCGTGAGAGCCACGGGCGGTGAGGAGAGGAGGCAGTGTCTCAAGTAAATAAACCTCCCACCCGAGCAAGGGGGATCCTGCCGAATGACGTGCCTCGCATAATTCAGGGGCGGAGACGAAGGGAAGGGATCGTCTCGTTTGGCAGGCACCTACCCACCTTGCAAGGGAAACAGACCTCCCCCGGGCTCCTCACAGCTTCGGAATCAAAGGCGGGAGGGCCAGGGGAGCGATGCCAGGGCCAAGCGCCCTCCCTCCATGGGGCCCTCCACGGGGCCGGCCTCACCCGCCCTTGTCATGGCTGCCCTTGTTCTTCACACGCCCTGCCGTCTGCGCCCCGGCTGGCTTGCCCACGTGACGGGCGGGAGCCGGCTAGCGAGGAGGCCGCGGCAGCCCCGCGTCTCCACCTCGCCACCGTCAGAGGGAGATGCCTATCAGCACACGGGTGGCCATGGAGAAGAGGACCCTCTCCGTAGAGGTCTTCTCAGCGGCTGCGGACCCTCAGCAGACTCGCGGCTATGCCGCCCCTTCATCCTGCCCCGCCTGAGAACCCCCTGCCCTGGCCTAATCCAGCCCTTCGCAGGTGGTTCTGCCAGAGCAGGCCCCACTCAGTCCAGTCCCTCCCAAAGGGGCACACGGTTTTGCTGCTGTTTCTCTTAGTCGTTTCTCCTCTACGATGCCATCACTCCCTGAACCGTGTGCCACTATTTTTTTTCCTTCTGAAATGACACCTGATGTGCCTTAACAAGCCAGTGGGATGAAGTTATTCAGCTTCAGAAAATGAATATGGAAAGGGGTCCTCCCCACCCCTGCAAAGGGTCTTTCCAGCACTTGCCGAGGGCTTCCAAAGGCTGCAACAGAAGGATGGTTTTGGAACAATGCAGCCATTCCCCTTCTCTTTTTCTCTCTCTTCCAAGTATGGGTTGCCGGCTTTGCAGCTGCCCCTCCATTGTCTCTCTCTCCTCAACAAAGACTTCCTTGGAATATTTGAATCCCACGCCCAACAAGGCAATGGTAATTATGAGCATTTATAGTTTTCCACTACTGGAACCATCCCAAATGCTCAGCCTTCTCCCCATCTGCAATAGACGGTACCCAGAAGAGAAAGCCAGCTTTGAGCCAAGAGAAAAGCGTTGCCAGGAATACAAAGTGGAAGGAGAAGAAGAGAAAGGAAGGGGCTAAACCTTATGTTTCCCCCTGGCTTGTTCACACCTCCACTGTGTGGGAGAGCCCCAGAAGGCTGTTGCACTTACAATTCATTGATCAGAATATCTGGCACCCAGATGGCCTCCGTGGGAACAGACAGCTGGGTGATGTTGTCAAAGTCCTCCGGATTCCACTGCAGAAATTCGTCAATCCAGTGCTGCAGGACAGAGGGAGAACAGAATCTGGCCCGGGGCCACCCGCTGAACTATCGAGGTGGGGGACACCCCATTCCACAATCCATGCCTTTGTGTTTCTGTTGCTCACCAGCAAACATACTGGCCCACCCTGCCGTAACCTCATTCACTCCCATCCAGCTGTTGGTCTCAAGCTCTTGAATCTTCCACGTTAGTAATAGCTTTATTCTTAGAGATGCAGAGCCACGTCAGGTTCTCAGGCTGCATCCCCTACTCTGAGCAGGAACCCTGTTTCAAGCATCCCTGCCAGCGTGTGCTTGAGCCTCCTTCGCAAGTCCGTTCTTTTGTCTGGCTGCCCTGACCCTTGGGAAGAGATTTCTGAGGTCCTCCCCAAATCTGTAGCCTGTTGCCGTGCGCCCTACAGCCTCAGTGGACAGAAAACAGGCTGTGGCCCTCTGTGCGAAGAGGGGCATCTTATCCCCCCGCCCCCAAAGTGGAAGGATGGCATTGCCCAGTGAATCGGTCGGCGCCCAAAGACCTCAGCATCCTGGGATCCAGGGGAGTCAGGTGGCAGGACGGAGGTGGCTGCTCCATCCATGGAGGCCCAGCGAAAAGGGCTGCCGGACACGACCCTCTTACCTGTCTGTACCAGATGTACGTCGTCAGAACTTGGTTCTTTTCATCCTGTCGGAAGCAGAGAGGCAGCGGTTAGGCAGAGGAGGCCGGGGCTGGCCCACCCATTGAGCTCCTCCTGTGGCTGGCTGGGGCTGCGTGAGGGGATCCCAGAAGGAGCTAGTGGTGTGGGCACTAGGGTGGCTACGCATCCTCTTTTATGGAGGACAGTCCTCGATTTGAAGGGCTGTCCTCTCTTTTGAAGGTGTCCTCTAGCTGAGGTGTGGTCCTGACCAATTCGGGTGGGAAGACAAAGAGCCTTCTGAGGGAAGGAGTTGCTAGTGAGCTTTGAAGGTGCCCATCAGCTGTGACGCCTGGGCAACGTACACAGGTCTTCTGTACCGCACTGAGTGGCATAGTCTATTCCCATTTCAGTAACGCCCAGCGTTTCTGCATATAACTCAATCCATGCACATTTTATGCATATCTGCATGCTCTTTGTTTGGGTTACCTGTCCTCTTTTTGGGGAAGGTGCCCGAGTGGTCCTCCCATGTCTCCACAGTGCATCACCTGCCGGATGTGCAAAGATGCCCCACTTCGAACCCGGGGCGCTTCTGGCTAAAAGGGGCCTGAGCGCAGGGCTGGGGAGAAAATGGGATGGATGCTCCGCTGGCCCAGTCCAGCGTCAGAAGCTGAGGCCACTCAGCAACCAGCGAATGGACACCAAGCGCCATGGATTCAGCAGCATCTGAATTCAGCACCATGGATTCAGCACCATCTCAGCACTCTGCCTGGAATACGCGCTTCCAGCCGCGGGACACATTGTGTTTGTGGTTTAAATTTTGGCCTGGAGAGTGCACACACAGCTCAGCTGCAGTGAAAGGACCTGCATCAGCAGCAGGCAACCTTTCCTCCGCCGAGGGCCAGATACCCTTCTGGGTGGCCCATCAGGAGCTGGGAGTGAGCAGGGGCCACAAGTGAATGGCGAGTAGGACCAAAGCATCTTCCAGCCCCCTTTGTCTTTCCTTCTGCCACTCCACCTCCCTCTCTCCGCTCCTTTCTTCCCAGGCAGCGGTCCGAAAGGGGAGGAAGAGCTTTCTCTTGCCAGAGGGCTGAGCTGGACGCCTGCAGACACTTGTTGGGATCCGATCGAGGGCTGCACAGAGCCCCAGTAGTGCGAATGGCCCACCCCTGTCCTACACCACCCCTTGGAACTGCCGATTGGCTGCTGGTAAGGGGCAGCAACTCAAGCAAGAAGGACTTGGGAGAGATTCTGAGCAGGAACTACAGTGAAATTCACCGAGGATCCAAATGCCAGTTCTGTTATGAATGTCTCTATGGAAACCAGCGCCTCTAAGCTCGCTACCAAGAGAGCCAAATCTTTGCTATGCCTCTGCAGACCGAGAGGACTTTCGTGGTCCTTGGCGGATGGGGTGTGTTGGCGGTCTCATCCACGCCTGATGTGGTGATCCGAGAGACAAAAGAGAACCTACCACACTTAGAATGGCATAGACCATCACATCGATGGCCACGTTGGTGGTCTTCCTCCAGTTCCGAACAGGCCGGACCCCCTTCCTGTAGTTCATCAGCAAGTAGTCTGAGAGTTGGCGCAGAGCTGGCTTAGTTGAGTTTGCTACTTTGCTGTCTATTTTCTGAGAAACTGGAAAACAAAACAACACGTATCGTTTAGGAGCATTTCGCCTGCAAGACCCAAGTGCATTATCTCCTAATCGCCTCCTTTCTCATCAAAGAATTCACCGAGTCGGCTCGGCAGCCAGCTGGTGGACCCTTTGCATGGGAAGTCCTGCTCGTGTCCTGAAAGTCGCACTCCCCGCCACGACTTCAGCGTGACGAGCGCAGCAAGGGGCCGCGGAGGCAGCTCTCCCTGGCAAGCAACTCCTGGGGGAGGAACCGAGGGCAGGCTCCAGAGCCACCACTGCTTCTGCCACAGCCACCGCTGCCTGCAGCGTGTCTCCCTGTACCTGACTCCCTAACACGGGGACACAATTCACGCTTCCCCGGCAGCGCCTAATTGGAATAGATCTGCCGGTGCTTGGGGAAGGCGTCCTTGGAGGAGGCTTTTCAAGCAGACCCTCTGCCTTTTCACACCATCTATAATTCCTCCAAGCTCGCTGGACTCACGAGTCTTAGGCAGCTGGAGAGAGAATATGCAGTGGGCAGGGGATAAAGAGAAAAACAAATTAGGGGAGTTAGCGGATAAGAGGCTGGCTGGGTAATTGCACGGCGGGCTTTGCCTTTGTCCCTTCCAAGTGACCCTTAAAAGTCCGACTGGCATGTGTCAAGTTCTGCAGCTGGCGAGGACTGACTCTGGGAACAGCTCCTGGGCCTCTTGCCTCTCACCAAGACAGGGACAGGGAGGGACGCTTGCTCACTCTCACAACGAGGACAGAGCGGGAACCGGAGGGCCGTGGCCCAGCTTTCAGGCAATAACACAGACGGAGCGACAAACACAACCCCTGGTGCAGCTAAGGTTCGGCCTCCGGGCAAGCTCCAGGCCCCCGCGGTCTGGGGGACTGCCCAGAGAGCTGTAGGCGATGGAGACAACGTCGAGCAGGCCCTGCCTCGACGCCTGGAGCTCTCCTGGCCAGGGTAGATTGCGGCCACCACAGCATCCTTTCCTCCCATTTTAAAAAGCATTTTATAATCGGGGGTGACTGTCTAAGCATGTGCATGATTGCAGATGCTCATTTCCCCATTCTTATTTTTAAAATAAATTATCTCTCTCCACAACAAAAGACGCTGAATCCCACATCAGTCTGCTTAGCAGCAGGGCAACAGATTCTTTGTGTGGTTGTGTTGCCCCTTTGATTTAGCTGAGTTTAAAATGAGAAACGGCACCCATTCAGAATGGCTCTTTTTCACTCAAGTTGGCAGAGCCGCGCAGACTGGGAATGCAGGCATGAGAAAGCTTTGGATGCTGGTGGGTGGAAGAAGAGAAATGTTAGTCGCGTGCTTCACGCCGCACGCAATCCACACGGCTGTCTAAAGCGGGGGGTGCACACAACCATTACGCCACTGTACAAAACGCCCAGCTCCAGATACTTCTGAAGTCTGCAAGGCTGGTGCAGGCTGAGATCAGCTGATAGCGGGTCCAACCTGCGTCCTCTGTGTGTGCAGCTGAGGAGAGCGCCAGCAGAAATCTCTCAGCTCCTTCAAAAGACTAGAGTTCCCGAGAGTAAGATGCTTTCCCCCACCAATCCACCCCCATATTTCCACCACGCAACAGATGGCAGCGTGGTTTCTAAACCCCAATTGTGATTTGTTGATTGTTTGCATGCCGGAAACTCAAGAACGCTGTTTGTCGCATACTGATGGTAAAGAGGCCGTCTGTGTGGCAAGCGGACTTGGCTCCTGCTGGACTTGGCTCCCGGGAGGAGCGGTGGCCATTGGACAAGGCTGAGTGATCTCGATGGTGGGACGTGTCCATGGACAGTTGGTCTCCTAGCTGGAGATCTCCATGGGCCAGGCTTCCTTTACATGCAGAAGTTCTCAGGAACAACCCCGGGCACACTTGCCTAAAATCACTCTCAGGCTGCAAGTGCGGGAGAAGTCCCTGCCCACCTGAGGCTGTGGGGAAAGAATGACTGTGGAAGGCGACCACTCCACTGGGCCAGAGGAAGCAGGGGTCCAGCCCAGGTTAGGGCAGAGGTAGACTCCTGTGCATCCTGCGTGGTGAACTCCACACTTAGGGCTGGATTCAGTTATGCCAAATCAACTGCACTGATGGAAGTGGTGATGCCCACCAATCTGGGTGGCTTTAAAAAGGGCGTGGACAGATTCGCGTGTGGGGAGGATCTCCGTGGCTACTAGCCTAACAGGCCACAGGCCGCCTTTACCAGAGGCGCCATGCCTACATGCGCCCGTTGCTCGGACGGGGGCAGGTCTTGCATCCGTCCTGCACGGGATACTGTGCGCGACTGGGTTGCCCCAGTGTGCGTGGGGTTCTGGGTGGGTGGACGTTGGTCTGATCCAGTGTGGCTTTTCTTATGTTCTCATGAAGTGGACTTCCTCCCAATGGTCCCCCCAATGCAGCTCCCTGGAAACACAACCCAGAGAGCCAAGCGGGCCTGCAGAGTGGCTGGAGGGATCTCAACATTCAGAGATTTCTTCGTGAAGAGAACAGAGAGGGCTTTTTTTAAATCTGGGAGAAAGCAAGACTGACAGGTCCCTTCCTTCCTAGCCGTGGTGTGAACACTGTCACCTGCACACGGATGCCTGCACATTACCCAAAGAGGCCCACCGTTATGATGTTCAAAGGTCTGCAGCCCAGGGGGGCTTTTGAGCCTGCTGAAGGTGTCAAGGGACCTTGGAGGCCTCTGAAGTCTCCGGTGAGTCCCAGGAGGCGATGCAAGGCTCAAAGAACATTTGGACGGGGAAAGCAAGATCAGCCAAACACAGGGCACCCTGTGCCAGAAGCAAGGCAGAAGAGAAGGTCTGCCCTGCAGGAGGAGACGCTTACATTCTAAGGTGGAGCGGCCCTGAATCAGCAACAGCTCTGCATTTCTGCCACGCAATATTCTGCTGCCCCTGAGCAGAAGAGCTGTCCTGTGGGCCTTGGGTGACTGAGGTCAGGAAATGAAGCCACAAAATGGAGGTGGCTGCCTTGTCAACAAAGAAGCGTGGAGAGTGGGGATTGACCAAAACAACCAGAGCTTTGGAACAGGCTCTCTGCAAGGGAAGGTGAAGAGTGTTTGGATCTAGAAAGGGCAAAGGGGACGAGATAGAAGGTTTCCAAAGCATGCATGCTATGGACAAAGCAGATAAGGAACCTTTTGCCCCCTGCCTCTGAATACTAGAACTTCAGGTCATCCAATTAAATGGATTGGCAGAAGTTTCCAGACGGATAAGAGAGTACGTCTTCACACAATATGTAATTAATTTGGAGAACTGTTTGGCACAATGTGTAGAACCGGCCGGTGGTTAAAATGCTCCTCAAAGTCTTTAAAGGAAGCATGGGTCCATCAAGGATTGCTGATCATGGTGACTGTATGGAACCTCCATGTTTACAGACAGCCCGCTCATGAATACAAGCCCGTTAGGAGAGGACTGTCACCCGAATCCACAGGGCTTCTCTCAGGTTGGTTCCTGTGGGTGATTTATGCCCGTTCATTCCAGCCGCAGTCTTAGTGGAAACTTGCCCTGCTCCATGGATCCCATCCTCCTTCAGTGGGACTTGAATTCAGAGGGAGTGAATTCACAGCAGCTTCCATCAAGGGCCACGGGTCTCACCAGTAAGATTCATTGTCTGTATTGCCGGCCACATTGTTTGTCCATCTTCAGGAATGATACCGACATGCTAGAAGAATACGGAACCTTAAGAATTATGGGTTGCATCCGGATTCTGATTTTTGGTGAGAACAAGCGCTCCATTTGCAGAAGGTCCCTGCAGTCACTGGGGGGCCCTGCACCCCCACTCACTTCCCACCCCACAACTCACTCCGTCCCGACTGTGCAGCTTTTCCAGGGGATTGGATCACGCAACTGGAAGGAGAGGGAGGGCAAGTCTACCTCCCTCCACTCAGTTGACCCACCCTAAATCTGGATCCAACTCTAAGATATTTAAGATGGCAGAAGCTTTTGTGGACAGTTGTCCAATTGATCAAGTGACCAGCCAAGCAATCTATTGAAAGATGCCAAAGACTCTCAAGGGCTTTTTGTTTTGCTTTGCTTTGTTGGTGTAATAGATTAATACAGCTACTCCTCTGGATAATGCTGATCTGGTTTCTTGCTAGTCTCAAAATGGCTCCCAAATAAAAGATTTGTTCAGACTGACCTTGGTCCAGCAACGATATGACACCAGGTGTCCACCCGTTGACATTTTCCATCTACTTACAAATGCTGTTCCCACCACTTAGCAAACCAGATCATTAGCAGAAGATCGTTAGCTGACCCAGAGCACTGTGCTATCAGGAACAGGAAGCCTTTAGCAGCAACACAGTTGTCTGTTCTCTGCACTGCTCGTGTCACCCAAGGACTTCAGCCCCACCATTCTGGGCCACAGGGCAGAGGGAGAGGGAAGGGCTCCCCAGGCCCACATGGCTGAGAAGGGAGGTTCTCAGGCAGCATTTACTGTTGCTCTTTCTTTCTTTCTTTCTTTCTTTCTTTCTTTCATTCATTCATTCATTCAATCCACCTTTCTCCCATGGTGGGATTCGGGGCAGCTACAAGAGGTTCTCAGGGGGTCTCCCCTGCGAGCTCAGGCCAGCCCCGGACCTGCTAAGCTTCAACATGGCGGATGCCTGGTGTGCCTTCACACCATCCTCTGGGCACTTTTCCATGGTTTCTTGGCCTCAGCAATTCACATTCCTACCCCCGAAACTGTTTGTCTCCTCTAGTAAGTTCCAATAACATGAAACCAAGTAATGCTAAAGGAAAATCATAGGGGGGAAATCTCCTCAAAATGGAGTAGGCACAGGGTGCTCTTGAAAGCACGCTCTGCTATTCTCCTAGAAAACGGTTAAAGATCGTTCTTGACAGCCTTTCAGAAAAAGTGAGCCCACCTCCAGAGGCATGGGAAGAAAGTCACTGTGTGAGGAGGGTATGGCTGAGCCTCAGGTCCATTTAGTTGAACACCTTGCTTCCAACCACAGCGGGTCAGATGTCCCTGGATGGCAGTCAGCAAGGGAAGAGCCACCCCCTCCTCTGCCTCCCCCACACCTGAGTGGTACAGCGATTCATTCATTCATTCGTTCGTTTGTTCATTCATTCATTTCTGTGCCGTCCGGTAGCCGATGCACCCAGTCTCTGCACCTGAAGGTCTCCCTTCAGCTAGATGGCTACTAGCTGTTGACAGATGCAGCAACCGTGAACTAGTCCACCCTCCTTTGAAAGCTCCCTATGCCTCTGGTCACCTCGGACCCATTGGAAGAAATTTAATTCTCAGCTTTGCTAGTGAGTGTTTTCCACTCCTCTTTTCTAATAAGTTCCAGTTCAGGACTGCCCTGAGCAACCCACGAATCTATTGCCCATGAAGGCTTCTCCATAAACATGCGACATGGTACCTGATGTTCTGATGGTCCAGATGTATCAACTCCTTAACACATCAAAGCATTCAGCATCCTCTCCCAGCTGGACTCGCCGATGCTGAGAGACTCTTGCAAGATCTCCGATTTGCAGGCATGAAGTGAACATGGCAGGATTTTGACAAACTTTCCCTCAAGTTTCTTACCTTTGCTTTGAAGCATGGATGTAAACAGTAGCAGCAAAGAGATCCACGGTGCAGAGGGAGCCATGGATGTCTTCCGAGGGGCAGGAGAGAAGCTTGCTTCTGAGTGTCTCGTCTGATCAGCCTGACACAGCAAAGCGAGTCTCGCAATTTACTTGCACCCTTTCCTCCTCCCCGTCTTTCCCTTTGCGGAGAAATTAAATGCAATTAAGAAGGCAGGGAGTTCTTTACTCCCCTCCTTTCCTGTTTTTCCCCAACTGTTGGATTTTTAAAAAATGCATAATTAATGTTGCAATCAGGCTCTCTCTGCTGCCTCAAGTTTCAGGCAGGGAGGATTCAAGGATATTTGCCCACCCACCCAAGCTGATGTCATGCAAAATGATCGGGAACTGATGCTCGGAGATGCTGCATCTCCGTGCGCGCAGGGCGGGAGAGGGCCGGGTGCCACTGCCTCCGCTGTCTGCGTGTGAGTAGCCCCCAGGGGCCCTGCGATACCTGAGACCCACTTGGGCTCTGTCCTGGCAAGCAGGCCGGGACGTGTTTGTGGTAATCGCTGCATTAGCGTATCAGGTGTTGCGACGGGGAGTGACCCAGGGTCAGGTGAAAAAGGCTCCATCCCAGACAGGACTGGAACACTGAGCCTGGGCGAATGAGTCACAGGGATCCAGGCTGGGAGGACGGCAGGCCTCTCTGCGGAACGAAAGCCACACAAAAAGACGCTCCCTCAGAGCCACGGAGTCCAGCCCTGCTCCGCTGCCACCTGTGGTCCCCATCCAGCTGCCGGTCCGCGCCTTTCCCGTTTAGCGATGGTGACCAACACGCTTGCTCCATGGGTGGCTGCGCAGACCAGCCCCGTTGCTGCCGGCCATCAAGTCCTGCTTTTATTTTAAAAATCTCCTCCCAACCCTGTTAATTCCCTGTTAACGAAGCTCATGGCGGAGGAGGCCGGGCAAGGAGCCCTGGGCTGCCTCCCCGGGGCAGACTGCGCGAGGCACCCGTGTGGAGTCACTTAAACGCGAGGAGGAATTAGCATGGGCCTCTGATGAACTCACCCTTCGCCTGCCAATAGTTGTGTCATGGAGAAAGTGAGCGTAAAGTCAGCACTAATTTGATTTCTCGACTCTGTTAGCAGATGGGAAGTCTCCTCCCGGCAAAGGGGAAACGGCTCAGAGCCGTTCGGGCTTATTGGATCTTGAGCGTCAAAAGCAGCGAGTGGCGGGGCCAAAGGCCACTGCCGGGCAGCCGAGGTGCCATCTTAACAAGGGAGGGAGGGTCCATTGCCAAGGATGTGGGGGATAAAAATAACCTCTGCGGTCAGCAGCCCTTTACCCAGGGACGGAGGGACAGGCTCCTCACCCCTGCGCATGGCTGCGTTTTTATGTTGCCTCTCAACCAGGTTCTTGAGCCAACGCGCAAGGACACACACAACAAAAATCGAAGCAGAAACCAAGTAACACACCCTCAGAATCAGAGCTTTTGCAACAAAGGGGCGGCAAAATGCTCCGCGTGGGAAGCACAGGAAGCCAGCTGCTTCCCGCGTCGCTGCAAACAGCCACCAGATGTTGGTGTCCTGTGCCAGCAGCATCTGCCGGCCGCCTCTGCTGAGCCACGGGGGAGCGGAACCAGGCCGGGCAGGGCTGCCCCTGGCACCGTAGCCCCTGCTTGTTTCCTCTGAGTGGGGACCAGGGTGGGGGAACTTTTGCCAGCAGCAAGATTTCGTGGGGGGCATCCCTGTTGTGAAGAGCAGCACGCTTGGCCAAGGGTGACCCATTCCAGCCTTAAGACTTGCTCTGAGTGACAGAAGGTGAAAACTGCCAGAACCGACTGGGTGTCCCGGATCAACGCAGCTGCCTGCAGTTTGGACTCTCCTGGGGGACCATGGCTCAGGGGGCCGCCTCTCTGACCTTTGCCCCCACAACCCTGGGCAGCAGCCAGGCTGGAGGGCAGTGCCAGGGCGGTGCAGCAAGAACCACCGCTGCCATTCCTCTTGGGCGGTCCAGCGCCAAACCCACGTAGCTTGGATGCTGGAACGATCCACGCTGAGCTCTGGAGAAGGCGGGAAGAGTTCCAGGGACCAAGCTCCCCTCTGCCTGTTTTACTGCTATTTTTAACTGAATGGGTGAAACTCATGATTCCACAAACTCATCTGTCCTCCTCAACGTAGCCCACATATTCATTGCAATATTTGGCAGCCCACACACTCGACCACAGAGGAACTCCCACGTGGCTTACAAAGACTCGAGAGAGAGATCGTTCTGAAAACATATCAAGAGAATGCTTTGAAAAAACACAGAGACAGACGCTTCAGGATGGGCAGAGCCAAGCCAAAGCAGGCACAGCTCAGCTGGACCTGTGCCACACCAGAGCCTCAGAGGGCCCGGTCTCCTCTTTCGCAGAGCGGTCCTCTCTTTGGAGGGCTTCCTCTGTTTCGGTGCTCCATGTAGCCATGCTGTGAGTATGAAGGATGGCCGGCCCAAGTGGGCCATCCCTCAGGAAGGCTCTGCTCCTTATCCGAAAAGCCCTGTCCTTGTGCTGTCACCTCGGTGAGCGTGGGGAGCACAGAGCGTGGCCTCGGATCTGCATGTGAGGGCACGAAGAGGCCCACGCGGGATGAGGCGGTCTGGCACGCAACTGGCTCCTGATTGTCTGCTTTTGCACCGAGCAATATGCATTGCATCCCTCTAGCCCGGTCTTTCTGCCATTATTTTGGAGCTCTGTTGCTAGAAAGTGATCATCGTGAGATGATAGCTCCATTGCACCGCTGGCTTCATCCCATGCCACCATTTTGTGGTGGGCCCCGTCCTCCCCCTGTGCCATGTTGTAATTGGCTGTGGGTTGGCTCTGCCAAAAAGCAGAGCAACTCCCATAAGCCAAAGTCTGCCCCTGCCTGCCTTTATGGGTGGAGAACCAGCAGGGTTCTTCTCATGTTTCCACTTTTCAACACGCGTAATGCATGAGGTCCCTTGTCACGTCGAGCATTGCCCAAGTCGGATGCATTAACCCAGTTTTGCACTGTTCCTTTCCAGCTGTGTCTTTGGAGGACCCTCCGACTCTTTGGAATGCCCCTTCCCAGCCCTTTCCTCAACCCCACGGCTTACCTGCTCCGATGCCCTTCTTAGCCAGCTATGGCCCTCCTTCCCAGGGCAGGCACCGCACCATCCCCTGCTGATGTGTCAGCAGCGGGGACGGCGAGCGCTGCCCAGACAAGGCTCTGCTGACCATCCCGGTCCCTGGGGGCTGCGGCTCCACGCCAAGGGTAGACGTTTGCCTTCCTCCCACAGCAAGAATTCCAAGACAGACTTTCACATGAGCCACTGAGTCCCTCCAGATCGGTGCGTGGCATTACACAAAGGTGGGCTTGCTACAGAAAGAGACGCTGGAGAGAGAGGAGGTGAGGGACCTCCACCGAGCCTGAAGACCAGCCAGCGAGATGTCCCAGCAGCATGGACAGCAGCCACCCGGCGTGCCGCCGTCTCTCCGTGTGCTCGGTAAGGCCACATACGTGGCACTGCAGGTCTCCTCATCCCATAAGGGGCACCAGTGAAATGGAATGTGTGTGGGGCAGGGGGGCAAATCCATCCCGCAATGATTTCACACGGGGGAGACTGAGTGCTATTAAGCTTGCTGTGCAGAAGGGCGTGGGACAGCTCCTTGGGGCAATCCAAGTTAGAGGATCTTCCAGTCAGAAGATCTGGAGAAGGCGCACCACAGCCCTGGAAGCCTCTGAGAGGGCAGGGAGTCTGAGAAAGGAGGCGCCAAGGGCCTGGCCCCACACAGCCAGCTTCCTGCGTTTGGGGGCGATGACCTTCGCATGCCAGGCCAGGCCGTGCACAAGCAATGCATGCAGAAGGGTCTTCCAGGGCCGAGCCCAGAGCGTAAGGTCCTGGGCAGTTGGCCTGAGACCACACAGATACACTGGTGGTTGCAGGGCAGAGTACCACCAGGGCCCAGGCCTGGCGCAGCCCCAGGAAGCTTCCTGGGCCCCCCTCAGGCAGGAGCCAGCAGAGGAGCAAAGGAGAAGGAGCAGGGAGCTGGCACTCCCAGGCTGTAGCTGGAGACACCAGGAATGCTAATGGGCCGCGTGTGCCATCCTTAAAGGAAGGGGTTCTTTCCCCCTTGCCCGTGTTTGTTTTGGATATCTAATTAGCCCAGTGGATTGTTGTTGCGCATTACCCTCGCGTCCATGCCTTTGCCCCATCAATCTTGAGCTGTTAACAGGATGCCCGCCAGAATGGATGCATTCTTTGTGGACCATCAAAGATAAATTGGCAGCATCCCGATCAGATTTAGTTTCTGAAAATGGTATAATGGGATTTTATTAGCTCTCTAATCTGCTGTTCAGTAATTGGTTTTCTGGGAAATCAAAGAAACTTGGTATCTGGAGACTTCCACACTTAGAGAAAAAGAAGCCCCCCTGAGCCATGGCCAACTTTGCTCTCTCGGCGCAAATGAGTCCGTCACCCGGCATGTTCGAAATACGGTCCGTTTTGGCTTCCCCCTTAAGATGCTGAGTCTCCCCCTCCCAGCCGCTTTTGCTTCTCCCCTCTGCCCACGCTAACTATGGGAGGGGAGAGGGAATAACCTGGCAAGCCAGTGGCCAGAGGTGCCAGAGCTCCTGGCAGAGAACGTGCTTTGCACACGGAAGGTCCGAGCACGGATCTGCAGATGAGAGCCAACTTCTCCCGATCCTCAGTTCCACTGACATGCTGGATGGCCTAATCATAGTGAAGGCTGAGGATTTTGATTGCTGGCTTTTGATGAGAATCCGGCAAAATCTGCAAAGTCCTTTCTGTTCAGGACAAAAAGAACTTGCAGTTGAAAAACAAATCAAATGTAGGAGAAACCGAAACAGAGAGATTCGTCCACCCAGGCCTGGACTTTGCGTGCTTAGCTCTTAAAAGTCTGGGTATGGATCCTTGTGTCCTCATAGCTCTGCCACCTTTTCTTCTGGAAGTTTCCTCATCCTTAAAAGACGTGTGATGGGCATGGTTCTGCCCATTCTTGGAATATTTATTTATCAAATTTATACCTTGCCCATTAGCCCAATGACTCAGTAGGGCAGTTTGGACAATATGAAGCAACAACATATACATGAACAATAATATCAAATTGGACAGATATCGCTGTGTCTGTTGAGTTGGGCCGGTTCAGGACTCTCCCCGCTTGACTTGTGGC